AAAGAAGGGCAGTGCCAAAGAATGCTCCAACTACTGTACAACTGTACTCATTTCACACGCTAGCAAGGTTATGCTCAAAATCCTCCAGGGCAGGTTTCAGCAGTATGTGGACAGAGAACTCCCAGAAGTACAAGGTGGATTTTGAAGGGGCAGAGGAACTAGAGACCTAATTGCTAACATGCGCTGGATTATGGAGAAAGCCAGAGAGTTCCAGAAAAACATCTACTTCTGCTTCATTGACTATGCAAAAGCCTTTGACTGTGTGGAACACAGCAAACTATGGTAAGTTCTTAAAAAAATGGAAGAGCCTGACCACCTTATCTATCTCTTGAGAAGTCTATATGTGGGACAGGAAGCAACAGTTAGAACTGGATATGGAACAACTGATTGGTTCAAAATTGGGAAAGGAGTACAACAAGGCTGTATATATATTGTCTCGCTGCTTATTTAAATTATATGCAGAATACATCATGTGAAAGGCTGGACTGGAGGAATCCCAAGCTGGAATCAAGATTGCTGGAAGAAATATCAACAACCTCAGATATGCAGATGATATCACTCTGATGGCAGAAAGTGAGGAGGAATTAAAGAACCTCGTAATGAGGGTGAAAGAGGAGAGCGCCAAAAATGGTCTGAAGCTTAACATAAAAAAAAACTACAATCATGGCTGCTGGTCCCATCACCTCCTGGCAAATAGAAGGGGAAGATATGGAAGCAGTGACAAATTTTACTTTCCTGGGCTTCATGATCACTGCAGATGGTGAGAGCCACGAAATTAAAAGACTCATGATTCTTGGGAGGAAAGTGGTTACAAACCTAGACAACATCTTAAAAAGCAGAGACATTGCCTTGCCAACAAAAGTCCGCATAGCCAAAGCTAGGGAGAGCAAACATATCCGTTCTGAAGGAAATCAACCCTGAGTGCTCACTGGAAGGACAGATCCTGAAGCGAAGGCTCCAATACTTTGGCCATCTGATGAGAAGAGAAGACTCCCTGGAATAGACCATGATGTTGGGAAAGTGTGAAAGCAAGAGAAGAAAGGGACGACAGAGGATGAGATTGTTGGACAGTGTCATTGAAACTACCAACATGAATTTGACCAAACTCCGGGAGGCTGTGGAAGATAGGAGGGCCTGGCGTGCTCTGGTCCATGGGGTCACGCAGAGTTGGACACAACTTAATGGCTAAACAGCAAACAGCCACTATCTAAAAGGCAGCAGCACTGTGATGCAGCAGCAGGGCGAGAAATCATTTTCTTCATGTATGCCATCCAACATTTCTTAGATACCAAAAAAAGTCATATAGGAATCATAGTAATAAAGATATTCTGAAAACTGGAAAATTTGTTATCTTGATTCCAAACTGGATGTATTCCTCAATTTCAAAGTATGAAATATGGCATTTCTAAACAGCCTAGGAACACAGGTAGCGAATTCCCGTGATAAACTGAAGGTCGTATTGCTCAAACTTGTTTGCCAGTACTCAAAGGTATGTGCCAAGTGAGCAGAGCTTTGGTGTGCCAAGTTCCAGCAATAAGAGGAAGCATGTGCACCAGCAGTCTTGACACTGATGCTTCAGCTTCACTGCAACAGAAGTCCTCCAGGTAAAGGCTCAAGACGGTTACTTCCCCCCCCCCCCGAATTTCCTCAGCAAGATGGCCAGTAAAGCTCCCAGAATCCACTGGCCAGTTTGGTCATCACAACTCTCATGGGCTCTGGCTATGTAGCAGAAAATGTATCTGCAAAGACCTGTACTGTACGTAAGTCAGAGAATCCAGGAGAACCCTCCACATGCCTGAGGAATTGAACTAGAGTCCATGTCATTAAAAATATGTACAACTGGAGGTTCCACACAAGAACTTTAAAATGTTTTTACACATTTCTCTCTTTACCTGTGTTCTGTAGGATACTGGTTTTCAGGCAACATCTTTGGCATCTGAATGGGTTGGTGAGGTGGCCGAGGTACAGCGAAGGTTTGTTGCCTTGTTTCCTGGAGAGCATGAGGGGCAGGGGGAGGAGGCGCTCCCTGCAAAGAACCTCCAGAGGCGACATGTGCTGGAGTCTGCACAGGTGCTGCTGGAAGAGGTGGTGGAAGGGGGTTGCTCTGGAGTGCAGGTGACGCTGGGGTGGTAGGCGGAGTTAATGGCTTGAACCCAGTAGGGGGCTTCCTGTCATAGGCACTACGCAAACAAACAAAAAACAACAGAGAAGGATACTATATAAACCCAGCAACAACAGCCATTTACACAGCTTCAGCTTGTTTGCATTCCACAGTTGTCAGGAAGTAACAGTTCAGGTTGTTCACAGCCCCAAAGGGAATCTTTGTACTTCAGGCAAGTGACAAACAGATTGAGTCAGACGGCTCATTTTGAAACACTTGTCTCACAATTTTCACAAAGATAATTGTAGCTTCCAATTGTTTCCACCTCTTTTTTATAGGAAAAATACTTAGTGTACCAAAGGGGGGTAAACAAGGCAGCCTTCCTTTCCCTCCTTTCTCTAATAACTAATGAGAATTGGTTGAGGTCAGAGCTGTGAACAAGTCTGCCACTATTCAAAGCACAACCACTACTCCAGGTTGCTTCACTTGAAACTTACTTTCTATATACCTGTATGGGGAAAGGCAAGTATCACTCTGTACATGGGCATGAAAATCTTGAGCACTTCTTTACAGAAGGAAACTTCATGTGCAATAGAATACAGAGGTGGACTCCCTCACGCCCGCCACGCTCCTCTATTCAGAGATCTTCCACATGTATGAAGCAGAGCCTTATATGAATCAGCCATGACTCCCCAAAATGCTGAGACAATTACTGCTTTTACATTAAGGGAACATTTCCAGAATGCACAGAAATACATTTTAGGACATTACAGATATTGTGCATGCCCCATGACTCCCCAAAATGCTGAGACAATTATTGCTTTTACATTATGGGAACATTTACAGAATGCACAGAAATACATTTTAGGACATTACAGATATTGTGCATGCCAGAGCAAAGTGTGTGTGTGTGTGTGTGTGTGTGTGTGTGAGTGAGTGAGTGTGAGTGAGTGAGTGAGTGAGAGAGTGAGAGAGAGAGAGAGAGAGAGAGAGAGAGAGAGAGAGAGCACACAGCAAAGTATGGAGTAACTACATGAAAGATACAGAATGCAGAGTACAGTGGTGCCTCGCTAGACGGTTACCCTGCTTGATGACGAAATTGCTTTACGATGGGTTTTTTGCGATCGCTATAGCAAAATGGCTCCCTGCTGATTTCAGGACCGATTCTTCGCTTTGCAGGCATCGCAAAATGGCCGCCCTATGGAGGATCTTCGCTACAGGATCAGGTATTTCCCCCATTGGAATGCATTGACTGATTTTCAATGCATTTCAATGGGGTTTTTTTCCCTGATTGACGATGATTTCGCTGTACAGCGATTTTACTGGAACGGATTATCATCATCAACCGGGGCACCACTGTATAATCTTTGTTGTGATTCCACCCACTCAAACTCAAACCTTCTTTCCATGAGTTTGAGTGAAGCTAATATTATTAGGAAAACAGGCATGGATTTTCTATAATTAGAACAGAATGACAGAAAGAAAGCTGTGGTCTGCCAAAAGTTGCTAGGATGCAGCTTCCATCATCCTTCACCAATGGCTTTGTTGGATGAGGCTGATGGGTCCTGCCACCCAACAATATCTGTTGGGCCACATTTTCCTCCATTCCTATGGAGAGTATTGATTAGAAATCAAGGTTATCAACCTTCCAAACCCAGTGCCTCCCATGAGAGCACAGGGATGACTGTCAGCATCCCACTGGTTCTCAAAGCTTGGTATGCAACAAGGGAAGCCTTCCGACAGGAATTCCTCTAGGAAAACAATTCAGCTCTGAGCAAGCTGGCATAGAGTCAGTTTGCTTGGCCTGGTAGAAAGGTCTGAATCATTTAGTTTACATATCCCTTTCATTCTATATGGGAAAATATCATTATCATCACCACCACCATCACTTTCTAAAGTGCATTTCTCAAACGTTCAGTGGTTGCACTAGCTGGAGTATACTGGGAGCTAGGATCCAAAAGAATAACTTTTTCCATCTTTACCTTTCACCTAACTAAATTGTAAAATGGATGTTGTTACCCTTCTAATTCTTTGCATAGACAGGAAATATTGCTAGGATGGTAGGTAGCCAAAGTAATATCAAAGCAAATAATTTCTTGATGCTCTTACTTCCTTTACTGCTCCTTGCTTTTAGAGCACCACTAAGTAAGCCCTCAAAGTTTTATTTTCTTTTTTCATCTGCACAGCTGAAGCAAACTGCAATTATAGTAGGTGAGAAACTACTGACCACTCAAATGCTCCCCATTCGGTTTTCATTCCACCTCTCTCCAAAACACCCAAATATGTCTCAGGTATGACCTAGAAGCACATTCTGTTTTGTCATATGCTACCATCAGAAATGACTTACAACGATCCTAATAGGGCTTTTAAGGTAAATGGGATTTTTAAGGAGTGGCTTTACCAGTTCCACACCCCCAGTGTGCCGAGAGGGCATTTGAAGCCAGGCCCCGTAAGTCCTAATCCATCACTCTACACCACACTTGGTACTGCAGAAGCACATTGTACCTACCAATAATTGTAGAGGCACTTTTCTCCATAATTAGCACAGAGAACCTGTTCGTGGCTACAGGTGGACAGCTCAGAAGAAGGACTGTGGAGTTCCCTCTTGATCTTAGCTGGAGGTGGTGCATGAAGTACCACTAAAAGAGAGGAAGAAAACAAACAAGCATGTTATAAATCAATCACAGAATTTATTTATTTATTTATTTATTTATTTGTTCGTTTGTTTGTTCGTTCATTTATTTATTTATTTATTTATTTATTAAATTTCTACCCCGCCCCTCTAGACCATGTCTACTGCTGGGGACTGTAATAAATCCCTGCAGCCAACCAAATGTTAGTCACTATCTAGCTGTTGGCATATAACAACACTGGATGCGGCATGCTGTTGGGATATAACAACACTGGAGAAATTATGACCCTCCAGATGCTGTAGTAATGCAGTTTCTATCAGCCCAACCTAGTATAGTCAATGGCAAGGGAGAATATGAGTTGTAGTCTCATAATTTCTGGAAGGTTACACTTTCCCCATTGCTGTTACAATGCTACATGGTGAGAACGGCATACATGCAACTCCCTCTTTCTCTTGCCTTCAAAAGTCAGTGGCACTTGCATCTGAAATACTAGAAGAGGTCAGTGCTATGGAGGCTTTGTGAATGGCTCTAAGTGCCAGTGTTAGTTATGGGTACAACAGGCACTCCAGAGTAGCAAGGTTGATTGATAGCAGCAACATTTCTGGGGAACTGGGGAGGGTGGGGTGGGGACACGGGAGAGGAAAGGCTGGAAATAAGAAGTGGGTTGGTAACTACTACCTCAAAGCAGTAATTTGCCAAACAGTCACAACTGTCTCATTCTCAAGGTTTAAAACACCCACAGTCTGATATATTCCAAGCTAACATGAAGGAAATAGACTCTAGACACTAGGGGACTTAGAATATGATGGCATATACACTGAGAACCATCAGAAATAGACAGAGCTCTGCATTTGGGATAGGACTGGAATATGCTGGGATAAACTCTCTTGTGATGTGAAGCAAACTTGATGCCTCTGGAGCAAGCCTGGAGCCACTGAAAGGAAGAAACGATTAGCAATGGCAGAAAAAGATGCTACAGAAGACAGCAGGGAGGTGGGGGAAAGGAAAGATTCTACCTGAAGGCATTTCAGAAAAATCCATCATGACATTCTAGTCTCTTGCAGAGATTTTCACTGTGTGCAACCCAACTCCTCTTGTGTTTTCCACTTTACTTCACATCAATTGAACTAAAAGAAATGCCATCAGAAATCTCAACTTTCTTGACTGATTCAGACAAATCCCTGTCCTGACTTGCCACTGAGAGAAGCTATAACTGGATCCTTTAGTCTTGCTATCCCAGCCTTCTGATGACCCTTCAAAAGAGATATATCCTCCACAGCACTATGGTACGAGTATCTAAGCAAGACCTGACAATAGTAGCCCACTTTGGAGGATACGCATGCTAAAGCTGTGCCAAAACTGGCTGATAAATGGCAAAGCAGAGAATGACCCTGTTTGAAAAAACAAAACAAAAACACCTTGCTTCAACAAGGGTCATGGCAACATTCAGCTTAACTGGTTCTAAAAATACACAAACTTGAATCCAACAACTGCCTGCATTTGGTCACTAACTAAGTTGGTCTTCTCTTCCTGGTTCTTTTTTAGACATAGCACATTCTCATGCCCTTAGATATGCAGATCGCCATGTGTGTATCATTATCAGCATTCTATATTATTACGCAAAGTACAAACTCATGCCAATATTGCATGAATGTGGTTCCTGCACAGGAAGCTTTTAATCAACAGACATCAAACACATACTGAAATATCTACCAACATGACTATTGAATTAAGTAAAGCAGTGGTCAAAATGTTCTACATTTTATTTCAACAAGGTTTTCTGCCTTCAATGTTACATCCATCATCAACAAGCTCATTAGAGTGACAGCAGGAACGTGTTCCTGTTCTCCAGAAAAGTACTGACACGATCCTTAAAGCATTTAGCAAGACCTATTTCCACACCTATGCTCTTTTATCAGCTTGAAACATTCAGCTTTCTTGATGGTCAAACTAGTTGGGTACTACACATCCTTTGTCCTGTTGGCACCCTGTAATAATCAGGAATATACTTGTAGCATAGCAGGGATGCTCTGATCTGAGAAGCATGGGATAATCTGCTAGGTTAACTTGGACATAACTGGTTTTATTTCAGTGGAGACATTAGGATTAGATGGCCTTTATTGCCTCTTGATTTTTAAGGAGCCAGGTTCACATAGCACACAATGACAACAGCAGGCATATGCTCCCATGAAGAAATATAATGTGGACACAGGTCACAGATATATCCACAAACTATTTCTGCACCTGCTCTTTGTGAAGCCAGTTTGATTCCAGAAACTGAGGCTAGCTTTTTGAACTACCAGTACAGACATCTGGACAACAAAGACTGCATGCTCTCAATTCATGTTTACACTGAACTGCCATCTATAAACTGACTCTTTGATTCTGTATCTTACATTCTACATAGACCAGCATAAACAATCAGATTCTAAAGTAGAATAATGGCATTTTGTGTTCAAGGTTCTGTTTTGTGCAATGTCTGCTATCCAAAGCATAGGATGACACCAAAGAGAAACAGAAGCCTAGCATAGTTATTTCCCTCACCCACAGCTCCTCTCCTTTTGTACTAAGGATTCTAACTGCTAGCAATGCCTACAGAAGCAGCCCACAGACCTCTGAACATAGAGAATGAATCCTGTAGTTCAGTTTTAATTTTACTGTTTCAGGTGATGCCATGATGTAAAAAAATAAGCAAACCAAATAACAGATTCATGCGGTTTCATCTAGAAACATACCCAGGCTCTCCAACACCTGGCTGAAGCTAGAGGGTAGAGACCAAAGTCATCAGAACATTCTGCCCTTCCCTGCCTCACATGTTCTCACTGATGGTTCCTCTCAGTGCAGGTAATAATTGCCACAGGAAACATGATGTGCATACTTGCTTCTTGGCCATTTATAACTCATCATGTATCATTTTGCTCTGCCACTGAATGCCAGCCAGGATTACTCTTGTACTGATCTGGGTTGGCTTTGCAAAACACAGAACAGAATATAGTTGGGAAGGAGGTAGGCTCATCCTGGAGCTCCCAACAACGGAAAAAGGCACTTCATCTTAGATGCTTGAGATATTGCCAGTACCTGTACTGGTATCATCACCAGACCAAGAAGGTGGGATTTGGCCAGGGAATTGACAACCTTGTCCTATGTGATTTCTTCATTAACATTATCAAAACACCCAATGAAAGGATCTACCGTTTTGATAACATCAGAGATGACAGCAGGTTGACAATAATGTTCATTCAAGGACTGAAAGTAGTATCTTACATTCTACATAGACCAGCATAACTGAAAGTTGTTTCATCGCTTCTGTCTTACCTAAAACTGATTTTGAAGTTGAATCAATACAGGTGAAGAACCTAGAATTACATACCGTCAACCCTTGATATCTTACATTCTACATAGACCAGCATAACTGAAAGTTGTTTCATCGCTTCTGTCTTACCTAAAACTGATTTTGAAGTTGAATCAATACAGGTGAAGAACCTAGAATTACATACCGTCAACCCTTGACTTAGTTACAAACATTTCAACTTACAAACCGCTCTGATAGAAAAATATTGACTCGACTTGCAAACTTAGATTTGAGTTATGAATCGAAAAAATGTGCAGGAGGTGGGGAAAGCGCGAAATTTGAAATTTCAGTTAACCGTTGGCCAGTGCAGAGGGTGCCTGTCTGCTTCCTCGCTCTTCCCAGCATTTTGAGAGTGGATTTGGAGACAGTCTTCAGACTGCCTGGTAGTGCCTGGTACAGTGCTGTACGGACTGTATTTTTATTTTTTGGCTTTTAAATTTTTTTTGAATTTTTAAAAGGTGTTCCCTCTCTCCTTTGCTGCCCCCTTTCCCCCCAAAATGTGCTTGTCTTGTCTTGTCTTGGCTGAAAAGGTGCTTTTCAAGGTGTTCTGTTGAAAAGGTGTCTGTTCCCTCCTTCCCTCACTCTTTTCTTTCCTTTTTTTTAAAACCTAAGTCATCTTAGGTTAAAAGGAAAAAAAGAAAACAAATCTGTCCCTAGTGGTAGGAACGGATTAACCAGCTTTGCATTAGTTCCTATGGGAACTAATGATTCAAGTTGCAAACCGCCCCTCAACCTAAGAACCAAAAACAGCCGGAATGGATTAATTGGTTTTCAATGCATTCCTATGGGAAATGGTGCTTCGACTTACGAACCTTTTGACTTACAAACTTCCTTCTGGAACGGATTAAGTCTGTAAGTTGAGGGTTGACTGTACTTGATATCTTCTGAGGCTACATCTTTATCCTATCATGCAGACCAGGAAGTTTCTACTGTAATACCATATTCAGCCACACCACTTCCCATTGAGGCAGTAGCATCAATGATTTTGATACATACAGTACCATTAATCCAAATGACTCCCATTCTTTCAGTTTCTAAGCAAATTATCTTATTAGGGGGACTTGTCCTCTGTACTCCTCCCATGCTGAAGAACAGCAACTGTGGGGGTTGACTCAGTGTAGAAAGAATGGTGTCAAGAACTGTGGATGTGTTCTGGTGCCTTAGATGAGTGTGTTCTGCGTTAACGCATAAGAGATTATTTAACCTCAGCTGCCCATGTTTCAGGAAAAAAAGGAAGCTATGATTTACAGTACTGCTGGGTCAGACCCCTGATCCTACTAGCTCAATATTGTCAACAGTGATTGACAGCAGCTTTTCAGGATTTCAGAAAACACCTTTTCCCTAGTTCTTCTTGCAGATGCCAGATCTTAGAAAATTTTAAAGAGTTTTATCTGCAAACTCATATGCTGCTGGTAATTTGTGTAACTGGGAGGGACTTTTCTCAGCTGGTGGTGACTATTTATCTGGTACTAAACCAATTGTTCCTTCTAGCATTTGAATCCAGAGAGCTCTGCCTCTCTGCTAAGTGCTCTTTCCCCTCTCTTTTGTCTGTTGGCAGCAGTTGTTTGTTCGCTGTTGATCAGTTCAGTTAGTTGTTAAGTAAAAGTGCTATAAAGAAAGCAGTATACAAAAGTCTATAATGTCAAGAAACTAT